GATCGCCGTACGCGCGCGGCCGAGGATTCGGTTAATCGCGTAAAAATGTCGCGCGTTGAAATTACGCCACTCGGAATTCGGCTCGCACGCAGAAAGTCCTTTAAAGAAAATGTCAGCTTTTCCATCCTGCAATTTTTAATCTAGATGCAAATCGAATGGAAGTTCGATTGGCAGCGAGATTGAACACTGTGACATAAACGGCAAGTTTATCTTTGCGCAGTGACATTTACAAAAAAAAACCGATCGACAATGTGCATTTAAAACTTCCGCATGTTTTAAAATAGAATAGAATAGAAAATAGAAATGATTGGTTTGATATGTTAAGTCTTGTTTTACTTCTCAATATTTGGATTGAAATAAAAATAAGATGAATGAATCGATAGTTTGTAAATATTCTAGAAATTCCATTTCTAGAAATCAGAATTCCTATTGAGATATGTAATAGGACAATTTTATCTTCGCTCTTTAATTCTTCGAGAGGCTACTTAATACGTATTCTATTATTAGCCGCGAATCTTGCCGGATGTGTTCATCGATCAACTAAAATCACATCGAATCGATTAGCTTGCGCATAATTAAACGAATATGTTTATCGTCGTGATGTTTATGCGTCATCGACTTTATCAATCTTGATTACTGCGTAAGCTGAATTCTATGTGAACGTCGATGATCCCTCATCGATAATCCCGAGTTTCAAACGCGCTTCAGCGCAAGTTATCTTCCGCCGAACCAGATTAATTTTGACGCTGACGTAATGCGCGATCACGAGTCCCTGTTAAAAAAAAAAAGCGTTAGTCATGATCTCGAAACGTCACGCGCCGTGTGTATTTTTTTCTCTCGAACCGATTGAAATATCGTGTCACGGTGACAGTATTACCGGTGTGACACCGATCGCCACGTTGTTAGTAGAATAATAAAAAAAAACCTTTGAAAACCTGTCAACTCGGAAATTAATGATCCTAATTAAAATTTGTCCGTCTACACCGAACGTTGCAGCGGACGATAAATTAAATAATTGCGCAAGAACGCCGGCGGTGAGTGATTACGCGAGCATCGATCCTCTTGCTCCATTCGGACGATACCTTTCGCTTTCGACGGCGATTCGCTCGCGACGTACGAGCGTTTAATCAGCCGTGCGCGGGGATTACTTCGTTAGCTCCAAGTGCAACGTTTATCGGCTGTAAACGAGAACGGCGAAATAACTCGGCGGCAATTGGGTGCCGGTGCAGGCAGCCGAGTGGAACCTTCGCGTCTCTCGCTGAAGCATCCCCTGCGCCTCCCGGGAATTGTCTACAGCCGAGGATTTTATACGTTCCGCGACGTGAATAACATCGTTACGACGTAACGCCGTAAGAGCGGACGTCATGCCGGACGAGGATCGCTCGCGTTTCCACTCGGGACGTTGCACGAGACGCGAACACGTGTGCTGACGCTGACGACGGCTGAGGCTTAGATGATATGGGAGCCGGCAAAATGAATAGAGAGATTCCCAGCAGCACCCTCGCGACCTTGAGGGGGATCCTGGTGAGCTCGTTGTCGAGGGAGAACCTCGGCCCGCATGACCTCCCCGTTCACGAGCATACGAGGCATCGACCGCACAGAAAGGTGCACTTTTACGAAGGTAAAAATCCACGGAAATAGAAACTATTTTGAGATAATGGTCGAATATATTTCTGCGAATAAAAAACGTGCGCTACCTCTTTTTTTTTAATAACAGAATAATTTGCGTAATTGTTTGACGGTCCTTCATATTTTATCTGCGTATTTCACTACACGGGTATTTTAATATCTTTTTTTTTTTTTCTTGAACGACTCACGGACGTAATAATTTTGATCAATCAGGATCACTTCGAGGTAGCAGCGAGGTAGAATCCAATTTACATACGAGGCGATTCAAAGTTACGAGGGCCTGATTGCACGGGAGCGCATTAAGTTCCCAACATTGAGTGCATCCACACGTTGCATTCCCCCATCGCGATCGTGCGATAATTTAAATATAAACGGAGGAAGTGGCACGCCCATCGGCCGATGACAATGTTGATCGATTATACCCCATGCGATTTTTATATACCATAATCGTTTATGAGACGGATATAACGAGCGGATTCCCGGTCGTTTCGTTTCGCATCGAGTTAAAATAATTACTGGATTGTAATTCGGCCAACTTTTAAATCGACGAAAAGTACTGATTTAATTAACAGCCGCACTTCGCCTGGAACGAAGAAACTCCTGAATTTTTATGAAGCGATTTCATCTAAAAAAAAAAAAGAACGTAAAATTATCGTTGCGAGTGTGTTTTGAAAATTCAGTCGAAAACTAATTTCTTTCCTCTTTCGTTTACATGTATGTTCAAATTAAAAAATGTCGAATTGACTATGCATTGAGCGATAAATGGTGGCTCACCTTCGACGTGCGATTCAAGGAAATATCTTTCGGTTTGCACACGTTTCATTTACGAGAGACATTGTAACTTAACTTAACTAGCAGCTGACAGAACGCGACACGGTGATTTTCTCGGATATAATTGACTCGCCTTAATGAATGGTCATAATGAGGTCTCGAGAGCGTTTCGCGACAGAAACTTCGTTCGGTACACGAATGGATTTATTAATTGCGTTGAAATATCTACAATTCTGTGACCAGCTTTCATTTTCTCGCGCAAGAACGTTATAGCGGTAGAAACGTTATTACATCGAACTAGTTGCATTAATCACTAATTTTAATATTTACCCTGTATTTTAGCGATAATATGTTATTGAACGTCTATTACTGTGAAACGTGAATCAATTTATTATATTGATACGGTCTGTATACGAAAAGATCTGTTGATCTACAAATCTGAAAATAATTTTGGCCATTACTTATTAATTACGCAAAATATTCAAATCGAAATATTCGCAAAGTATTCTATTATTATTCTGAGCGTTCTAGAAATTATTTTTGGATCTGTAAATGTCACATCTTTAGACACACTTTAACTATTCTGTCTATACACTTACATTATTCCAAGAAGAAAGAGCCATTCGAAGTTTTCCGGTTTCTTCTCCGAAAAATCTCGAACATTGTAGAAAGAAATTCAGCATACGGACGGGCAAATGTTCTCATCGGCGGAAACGCGCGACGGAGAGACGCGTAAAATAATGCGACTTCCTTACGAGAAGCGTGGAGAAACTACGCGCGGTCTAACGCGCCACACAGACAGCTGGATGTTCCATAAGATAAGAATCTCGCGACGCGTTTCTCGTTAAGCGCATTAAATGCCGGCTTAGGAAGCGACGCCGGGCGGGTTGCAACCGCCACTTCATGGCCGTTCTGGGAACGATCATTTCCTCGACGGCGAATCTCCCAGACAATTACCGCGCACGCCCTGCTCCGTGACTAATAGATTCCGTTGGTGTCACGCGCTGAAAAGTACGCGCTCCCGAAGGGACGGAGGGAAGGGGGGAGGGAGGGGGGAGACGGGTCGCGCGGAATGTGCGACAATCGTCCGCGGAGTTCCGGCACGGCCGCCGATTGTCTCATCGAGAAGCGGATACGGTCGGCGATTGGAGTGTCGTCACGTGCTCAGGACGACCCGCACGTAAAACGCGTTCGACGAAGGAACGTGACGCGGGGACGCGTGACGGCACGCGTCGACAAAAGGCACCCGATCGATAACGGATAAGGCCTCCCTTTGGGGACACTTAATTTTTATCCGTCGTCGATCGCGATTCCCGCGAGACGCGCGTGTATCGTCAGTCGCGAGTCCATTAGCGAGTCTACGCGAACAGGAAGCGTCGAGGCACGAAGGCGGGGAAACAGCCGACATGGGTGCGGGATTCTCCGTGATTGTTAATTACGGGATAAATCAATCCCCACGCCCCAATTAATTGGCTCGTCGTCGTTCGCATTCACGCGGGTTTGCTCTTTCTCTCCGCCATTTTCGTTAATTTACACGCGAATTTACGATCTAGACACTCTGGCTCCCCTTTTGGCGGAAGTCCTAACTCCCTCTAACTGGACGGCAGCAACTTCATTTTCGACTTCCATTTCCCCAAAAGACTGGACTTTGAGGGCTTACTTCTCATTAACGTTGCCACATAGATGGTAACACAATAATAATTAGATATTGTTGATAGAACTTATACCTACGAAAATCCTCTGCTAAATTCTGATTACATTGATTACATTGATTAAAAATATTAAAATTATAAAAATAAATTGTGTATCTCCAAGATAAAAAAATGCGAGATTTATATATATCTTTCTTTGCTGCACTAATTGCAAATATCGTTGATAATATCGAATGGTTGGTTAACAGAAAAATAAAGAAATTAAAGGAAAATAATTCAGAAAATATTGACGCGTGACATTTGCTTAAATCAATATTTAACGTAATCGTAACAAAATTTATTAGGAGATTATTGCACACGTGACGATATGTGTGTTTGCAGCATCAGTTTACATCGGTTGAGGATCAATAATTTCCATCACGGGTCGCTGATTGTCAACACATGGATCATATACCAATATATCAATATACCTCGAAACTAGAACAACCAATATGATCCCGTTTTTTGCCTGAGAACGGAAACAGATACTTAATATATCTACTACGTGTTACAGGATGTTTGTTATTTTTATCTTGCAGTTGAAGAATGTAGAAAAATGGGTTGTTCAAATCTCAGCACTTCAATATCTCGTCATCTGTTAACAAAAAAAAAAAAAAAACGCTGGCGCAATGTCGCGAAAAACCAATATGACACTGGCGAGAACTATACTTTAAGGAAGAATGTATTATTTTTTACAATGTACATATCCTTATGCTTCTCTTTACAAGAGACACTTTTTTTATTGAGAGATATAATATCTTACGTTTGGAGACTAACACAATCGTTCAAGAATATCTTTATCCGCATTGCGCCAAAAACTTAGAACGCTCACTAGCGCGTGACATTATATAATGTCTCGTCGTTCGGTAATTACGATAGACCTCATGTTTTTCTCTTCTTCTGTTTCAGGTGAGTACTCCGCCAAAAAGAGCTGCTATACAGGTCGTCCGGATAATCGCGGTATGTAGACTTGTCGTGCGGAGAAGGAATGAAATTATCCGACACGCCGTGTACAATTATTCTCTCGAGTCCGACACTTTATTTTACCTAATGCTTCCGATCGAACAGCTCCGATATAAAACGTGAACCGATATGTTCCTAGGCCGAGAGAAATCATCGATAGAATTTCAATGAGTTCAATAACTCACGATATGGAATGCAAAACAAATACTCTAAGAATAGGAAACACTCGCGGGTGTTTTAAACCCGGCGTAAAATAAAAGTATTCCCGTGTGTCGGACGGTATCGAGATTATTCGCTTTAACGAAACTGCAAGAGTATGAGACACTTGCGAGTGTTTTAACCCCGGCATAAAATAAAAATATTCCCGTGTGTCGGGATTATTCGTTTTAGTGAAATTTTGAGTCCTGTATAGCACTTCCGCCGCGGTTAGAACAAATTCGCGTTACTGACCGCGCCGAGTCGTTGGTCGGCGCGACGACACGGGAATGACCGAACGGCCTCTTAAGACAGGATGAAATAAATAACGGTCGGATTAATTCCCGAGATTAGGAGGGGAATTTGTATATCGAGGCCTCCGTGGGAAGTCTGCGGCGGTCACGCGATATTACACTTCAACGCGCCTGCATTCCGCGGGATCCCGGGAGGGGTAAAGCGAAAATGATCGGTGTGCCATAATTCAGAGTCGTTTTATCAAAGCAAAGTCGCCTTTTACGGCATCGTTATCATTTGCGGCTATAAAGAGGAAAAGAGAAAGAAAGACAGAGAGTGAGAGAGAGAGAGAGAGAGAGAGAGAGAGAGAGAAGAAAGAATA